ACGAGCCAGTATTTACAGGGGAGTCAGTTCTTTGTTGCTTTCTTCTTGGAAGTCCCAGGGCCATCAGTACTTAATAATCTGTGAATAAATAACTGCTGTTTAGCTCATCAGAGATGGTGTTGCAATTCTAACTGACTCTGGATTTGCTGAAAGCTTCTAGATTTAATAGGAAAACTGCAGCTGCAACTACATTTTTGTCTGGGTAATTATTATTGCTTGTAATAACATGACTGACAGTTTAATACTCACAGTGTTATAGTGTACTTGACTTTGGGGCAGAGCACTGACATATAGGGGTGGGGTCAGGACTCAGGGGTCAAAGGTCAGGATCAAACGTCAATGGTCGGGTCAAAGGTCAAAAGTCAAAGGTCAGGGGTCAAAGATCAAACGGTACCAACCAGTTCAAACCAGTTCGATCTGGTTGAAGCTGGTTCAAACTGGTTCGATCCGGTTCAGACCGGACGAAACCGGACTGAACCCATGTGAACCGGTTTAGACTGGTTGAAACCAGTCTAAATGGAGACATTGTGGGATGGTTCCTATGACTAGAGCACTGGAATGGAAGGGTTTAGGCTTTTTAGGAAAGACAGGCTAGGAAGATGAGGAGGGGATGTAGCCCTGTATGGATATGGAACTCTGCCTGGGGAAGTATGAGGAGCCAGCCGAGAGCTTGTGGGTGAAGATTAAGGGGCGGGCAGTGACAGGGATATTAAAGGTAACAGGAAGGGCTTCTATAGGTATGTTACAAGCAAGAGAGTTGGACCCCTCTCCAGAAGGAAACAGGAGACCTGACTACCCTGGACAAAGAGAATACTCAGGTTCTCAGGGATGTCTGTGCTTCAGTCTTCAATGGCAAGTGTTCCAGCCATGCTGCCCAAACTGAGAAAGGCAAATGCAGGGACTGGAAGAATGAACACCCTGAGCCCACTGAGAGGATCAAATTCAAGACCATCTAAGGAACCTGAATGTACTCAAGTCACGAGACTTGAAGAGATACAACCCCACGTCCTGAGGGAGCTAGCAGAAGTTGCTAAGATATTATCCATCATTTTTTGAAAAATCGTGGCTGTTAGGTAACGTCCCTGATGACTGGAAAAGGGACATATAATCCCCATTTTTAAAACGGGGAAAGCAGAAGACTGGAGAATCACTTCTACCCAGAGCAACTGACGGTGCTGCACAGCCCCGTGTAGCTGCTTCTCCTGGCTGGCTCTACAAGATCCTCCTCTTCCATCACCCTCCTCCTCAGTGGATCCACAGGACAGCTGCTGCCCAGCTCTGGAGGTTGATGGAGATTCCATTTCACGGGCAAAGGAGTGATGAGGATGTGTTGCGATGGTGTGAGACCTGAGCAGGACATACACAAGATGGAATAATAAAGGCTGGAGATAAATCCTGAGCTGGACAGGAAGAATTCAATGTCTCCCAATGGGCATGTGGTTTGGGTTTGTGCTGAAAAGACTGTCGATAACCCCGGGATGTTTCAATCAGTGCTGAGAGTCAAGGCCTTTACTGCTCCTCACACCATCCTGCCAGCAAATAGGCTGGTGTTGCAAGTGGGAGGAGAAAAACTCTTCAGAAGGGCTCAGCAAGGAAAGAGAAGCAGTGGCGTAGTCCTGTATATGAGGGAATGGCTTGGCTGCCTAGGAATTGACAGTGGTAATGAAAGGGTTGAGGGTTGATGGGTAAGAATCAGGGCAATAGCAGATACCAAACTGGGAATCTTCCCAGACACAGAGGGAAGGCTACTAGGCAGATTGGTAGTTCCCAGGGTCCTTTATTCTACCCTTAAAGCAGGGTGCAGTGAAGTTTCCTGGATTGTCCACAGCTTTCCTTCTATGACAAAGTGACATGCTTGGTGGAAGGGGGAAAGGCTGGGGATGACGTTTACCTGGGCTTTTAAGCTTTGACACCATTCCCCAAACTATTGTTGTGGAGAAAGTGGCTGCCCATGGCTTGGACAGGTCCACTGTTCACTGTAAAAAAGGGTCTGGATGGCCAGACCCAGAGGGTGGTAGGGGACAGTTTAATTCAGCTGGTATCCAGTCACCAGTGGAGCTCCTCTAGGCAGCACTGAGACCAGTCCTGTTTCTATCAGTGACCTAGAGGAGGGGACTCTCAGCCAATTTGTAGAGGACCAGATCTGCCAGAGGACAGGAAGACTCTACAGAGGGATTTGTAGAGGCCCAGGAATTCAGCTGTCCCAGGCAGTTCCTGAAACCCTCTACTCCCCTATTCCTCCCTGACTACTCATTCTTACTACAGCCTTTTTCTCAACTGGGTCCAGCACCGCTGCCACCATTGGGACTTGATGCGGATGCTGAAGCACCAGCGGCGTTGAACACGGCGTGTCTGCCAGGCTTTCAGGGATCTCCGAAGGCGGGCATGAAGCTGCCCCAGGAACCTTCCAGCAGCAGTGCTCGTGCTGTATTCCAGCTCCATGGAGCTGCTGCTGCTGCTTTCCAATACAATGGGATTCATGATCACTACTAGTCTAGGGAGCAACCTGGCTATCACCACAGATCTTCTGTGTTGCAGCATCATGGAGCTGTTGCTGCGGCATTGTCTTATGTTCTTATGTTTGATCTCTTCTGTCACCTTGTTCATGTCTGGCCTTGCCAACTCCTCTCCAAGGCACTGGGGACACTCTCTGGCCCCCAGCAGCCTTGGCATAACATGCAAATCAGTGTGGACCACTCTGCCACTCCCCCTGCCCCATCGCCACTGGGCTAGCTGTGCCTCCAGCTCCTTGCGGTGCTCCTCAAAGAGTGTCTGGGAGTCCCGGCAGCTGCGGATGAACCTTGGGAAACGCCTCCTGGAGCTGATGGAACTGCATTGGGAGCGGCCATGGGGCAGCCCCATGTCTGCTGATCTCCGTGCCCTGTCCACGTTGCTCTGCCCCTCCAGCCAGCCTCTCGCTGCACTCGGATGCTTCAAGTTCTGACGGATCCTCTGCAAGAACCACAGACGGATGAGACAAGAGCAGCTCCCCAGAATGCTCCACACTGTCATGCCACTCATGCCACACCAACTCACCCCAAACCTACAGGGGCTGGCCCAGCCCAGCAGATCAGAAGCCACTTACCCATAGACACTTGTCCCGCAGCGTGACAGCGACCAGGATGAGCTGCAGCACCACCATCGTGATTGCCACCAGCTCACCCACGGTGAAGATGCTGAGGACCCCCATGGCACTGTCTGTAGCAGTCCAGGTTACCAGCACAGGCTGGTGAGTCTCCCAGAGACCTGCAGGGTTCCAGCGAGGGGAATCCAACCCTGGTGGGATGACAGAGGCTGAGGCTGTTGTCTGACAAGACACTGACAGATTGCTGTGCCCAGCACTATCTGCTCCTGTGGGGCCCCGTTTATAGGCTGGCAGAGTCCCCTGTGTGACATCATGGAGCAACCAGAGCCCTCTTTGTGACAGTGCAGGGCAGGCAGAGCCCCCTGTGTGTCATCCCAGGGCAGTCAGAACCCTCTTTTGGATACGCAGAAGCCCACAGGAGACCAAGAGAGAGCTCTTGCTGCCTTGGGCACAGTGACCATGCACTCAATGTTGCCCTGCTGAAACCTTCAGGATTCTTTTAAGTCAGTCAGGTTGTAACACTTTCATTTGACATCATGGATCTGTTTTAAGTTGCTGCTGGATCTGTAATTGCTGGGAGCAGGGGGAGATTAACCGCTTCATAAAATATATCTCTTTTGAACAGATGGTTTGCCTCTATTTCATGAGCCTCCATGACACAAGGGCAGTGATCATGCCCTTGTGCAGGGCACTGGTGAGACTGGACCTTGAATTCTGTATTCAGTTTTGGGCCCTGCACAACAATAAAGACATTGAGGTTGCTGGAGTGTGTCCAGAGAAGGGCAGTGGAGCTGGGGAAAGGGCCTTGTGTTTTAACCCCAGCTGGCAATTCAGGAAGGAAAAAAGAGTGAGTAGAAACTCATAAGGTGAGATAATTAAGTAAATAGAAACAAATTCCCAAAATATTGGATGAGAGAAAAGAAACAGAGAAGAAAAACAGATTAAATAAATGTTAACAGTTTCTCTGCACCCAACAACTGATGTGCACTCAAGTCAGACACTCATCATGGAATCACTGACTGGTTTGGGTTGAAAGGGACCTTAAAGATCATCCAGCTTGCCATGGGCAGGGACACCTTCCACTGTCTAAGGCTGCTCCAAGCCCCATCCAATCTGGCCACTAACACTTTCAGACAAAGGGCAGCCACAGCTTCTCCATGAAACCTGTGCAGGGCCTCACCACCCCTACAGGGAACAATTCTTTCCCAATACTCCATCCATCCCTGCCCTGTGGCAGAGGGAAGCCATTCCCCCTGCTCCTGACACTCCAGGGCCTTGTCCAAAGTCTATTTCCAGCTCTCTTGAAGTTGGGGACTCTAAGGTCTCTCCTTCTCCTCCCTAGGCTGAACATCTCCAGCTCTCCCAGCCTGTCTCCAGAACAGACAGGCTCCAGCCTTTGAGCATGTCTGTGGCCTCCTCTGGACTCATTCTAGCAGCTCCATATTCTCAAAGACCGAATACCATCCAGAGGGACCTGGACAAATTCAACAAGAGAGCCCGTGGGAATCTCATGAGGTTTAACAAGACCAAGTGCTGGTGCTGCATGTGGATCAGGACAACCCCAAATATCAAACCAGGTTGGGGGATGAAGACATCAAGAAGAGCCCTAGCCAAGACCAACTTGGGGATGCTGGTGAATGAGAGGCTGGATATGCCCTGGCCCTGTGTGCTGGGCTGATACCACAGTATGAGCAGCCAGGGAGGGGGGGGATTCTTCACTTCTGCCCTGCTCTACTAAGACTGCACCTGCAGTGCTGCCTGCAGCTCTGGACGTGGAACTGCTGGATAGAGTCCAGAAGAGACCCCAAGATGATCAATAGGATGGAATACCTCTATGCTATGAGGAAAGGCTGAGAGAATTTGAAATGTTGAGCCTGGAGAACAGAAGCTTTAGAGTGACCTAATTGTGGCCTCACAGTACCTGAAGGGAACCAACAAGAAAGATGGAGAGAGACTATCTACAAGGGCCTGGAGTGACTGGACAAGGGAGAATAGCTTCTCACTGAGACAAAGTAGGTTTAGATTGGATATCTGGAAGAAATTCTTCCTCATGAGGGTGGTGAGGCCCTGGCATAGGTTGCCCCAAGAAGCTGTTGCTGCCCCATCCATGAAAGTGTACAAGGCCAGATTGGATGGGGCTTGGAGTAACCTGGTCTAGTAGGTTTCCTTACCCATGGCAGGGGAGTGGAACAGGATGATCTTTACAGCGCCTTCTAATCCAAACCACACTGTTTTTCACCTCTAAGGACTACTGCTGCCAGCTGCTTTTGAGGTAAAATTATTTACAGCAACACAAAGAGCCATAAAAACGCAACACACACTGAGGTGTGAATCCCTTGTTTTAACTGTCCCTCCTGATCCCACCTTCACAAATGCATTCTGGATACAAAGCCTTTGTGGAAGTATCATGCTGCTTTTGGACCTAGAGTGAATAGATGTATCCCCACAGTGCAGTAGCATGGTTCAGCCCTGCTTGGTCTCATTCAGTGACTGATCAGGATGCTGCTGAGGCTCAGTGAGACAGGCTCTGGGTTCAAGTGTGTCCCAAAGGAGAAGCAGTTTCCACCGCCACCAATAACCAACAGCTCCTTCTCATTTCGCAGAAAGATACTGCTATGATTGTGTAGCATTAATGGCCACTCCAGGTGTTCCTGAAAAAGGAAAGGAAATTTTGAACATACAGGACTTCACGTGGTCCACCGTACCACCCATGAATGTGGGCAAGAACAGATAGAGAATATAGGAACAAGTAACCCCTGAGGTGTACTCCTCTACTACACCTACCCACCCACCAACTTGCAGTTCAGTGATTTTTTTAATGAGAGAAAATGTCTTTGTACTCCGTGAATCTTAATGCTTTTCCTCCCAAGAAGGTAGTCAGTCAGTTTTTGATTCAATGTAAATCTTTGACATTCATGGCCTGGGCATGGAAGTCCAGAGCTTACCTATGTAACTGGTAGGTTCAAAAGCCTAGAGTTTCACCTAAGTCAAAGCAAGAAGCTCAGAAGCAAAGGAAGACACTAATCCATCTGCATCTACTTATTCAGTGTTAACAAAAACTTATATTCTTTTAGATGCAACTTTACTATCACTGTACCTGTCCTCATTGCCGTCCTAATAAGGGCAGTCTTTTTATCTGAAGGATATGAGGTCACTTAAAACTTCTGCTACAGACAATAATTGAAAACTAAGTTACAATTAAGCACATTTCATGCTTTTATACCCTCAGCAAAATGCTGCAAGGCCAACTAGATGCACATATGCTGTCCACTATAAAAAATGACCCATCACAAATTCCAGTTTCACCAACAATAGGTTCCATATGTACCATTACCAAAAGAAAGTTGTTTCTTTACATAAAAGGTAAATAAAAACTTGTCAAGCAAAATAAATGTTTTTACAGAATCACAGAATGGTTTTGGATGGAAGGACCTTTGTAGCCGTGGAAAGGGGTTTTAACCCTTTAAGTGCAGCAGAAATAAGATGCACAGCTACGTGGTTGTCTTTCATGACAGGAAAAAAGAGACAAGTTTATTCAGAAACACACTTGGTTTTATAGCATGGCTCGCAACTCCAAGAGTAGAGAAGAGGTGATTGGCTCAGAGAGAAGACACCCCATTCCCAGGGCCTGGGCACACACCACAACAGGGCTTCTATCTTGTTATTAATTCCTTTTTATTTTGACCAAATTATCACCCTGGGAGAAATTCTCCCTAGCCTTGAGCTGGACCACCTTATCAGCTGGGAACAGAGCTGAAAAGCTCCAGCCTGGAATATTTTTCAGGCTGTAACTTTCTTACTTTCTCAATATGTGTCCCACAGACCTTAAAAAATGCCACCTCACTCCATCCCCCTGCACTGGGCAGGGACAGCTTGCACTAGACCAGGTTGCTCCAAGCCAAATCTAACCTGGCCTTGAGTAATGCCAGGCAGCCACAGCTTTTCTGAGCAGCCTTTGGCAGTTCCTCACCATACTCTTCATAAAAAAATTTCATCCATATACCTCGTTTGAAGCTACTGTTCTTTAGATGAAAACCATGACCTCCTGTCCTATCACTACAGGCCCTGATAAAAAGTCTGTCCCCATCTTTCTTACAAGTCTCTCTTTAAGTACTAGAAGATGCTCTAAGGTACCCCCATAGCCCTCTCTCTCTCTCTCTCTTAAGGCTGAACAACCCCAACTCTCTCAGCGCATCCTCACAGGAGATCAGCTCCAGCTCTCTGATGATCTTTGTGGCCCTTCTATGGATTTCATCCAACAGATCTATGTCTTTCTTTTCTCAAGGCAGTATTATTTGAGATGAGGGCTACTCAGAGATGTAGACTAAGTTTTGCCCAGAGTATGCCAAAATCCTGCTGTATGGCACCACCTGTATGACTATTCTTCAGTGATTCACAGAAGAAAGTCACCAAATAGTTAAAGTTGGAAGGGTCCTCCATGCATCATCCAGTCCAACCACCCTGTTCCAAGCAGGCTCAACTCAAGCATGCTTTTCAGTACCTTGCCTCCTCAGGTTTCAAATATCTCCAGTAATGGAAATACAACAGGCTCTCTGAGCAGTCTGTTCAGTGTTCAATCATCCTTACAGGAAGCTTTTATGCTCCAGCAGAGTTTCCAGTATTTCCATGCTGGTTTTTTTTTTCTCATATTTCAGGCAACAGCCACAGCACACCGCAGTTTCCACCAAGAAGTTCTCAATGAAATTATACCTCAGACCTCCATAAACACTAACTTAGCCTGTGGTTCATCTGTTCTTTTCCTCCACAGACATCCTGAAGTGACTATGCTTGTGCCCCTTTCAGTTCTGCTGCCCCTTGTCTGAAACAGAGCAGCTTCGTGTTCCAGTCTTCTGCACATGCCATCTCTCCCTCTCTTAACACTGCTACGTTCTCTGTGCTGGGTAACAGCACTTTGGAGTTAGATCTTACCTCTCCATAAAGTTACCATGTTCCTTCACAGGACATTGCTTACCCCGAAGGAAAAATTTTGGTACTTACCACATTAATCACATAGTCCAAGCAGAGACCGGTCATTAAGTCAATGACAGTGATGCCTGGCGCAGAGGATGCATGAAACCACACTCCACCAACGAGCAGAAGCTTTCCCTCATGCACATGTGCAGTATGTGAATACCTGTGAGTTCAAAATAAGATTGAAGTCCATTCGCAATGGAGCCTGGTAGAGAGAGGCTGAAGATTGTCTGCTGAATGCTCTGAGCAACCTGTCTAGTTGAAGATGTCCCTAACTCATTGCAGGAAGGTTGGACTAGCTGGCCTTTAAGAGGTCCCTTCCAAATCAATTTTATGATGCTATGAATGCCTTCTGCTTACCTTGGGACAAGAGGAGGGTGTGTCTCTATTGTCTGCCACTGAAAGCCATGTTCCAGCTCCCTCAGAAGGAAAACTGAACCCAAGGGCTGCTCAGCTGCTCCCAGACCTCCTGCAATCAGCACACCTCCTTCCCAGCTGCAGGCACTGTGAGAGTGGCGGCTTTCTGGGACTCGACCCTCAACAACAATCTAAAAAAAAACAAGTCCAAGGTTGAAGTTTGCCAAGCTAAGTGCCTGCTTAATGTCCAGGCTTTTAAATGCCTTTTCCTGTGTGGTTGAGTTTTTTGACACCGAATTTTTTCCACATGTTCCTCTAGGGACTGCTATGTGCTTGTATTTATACTGTCTCTGGCCCCCAGTACATTTAATATAATCAGTCTTTAGAGGACTTATTTCTACACATTTTTTAGAGGTAACTTTATCTGCATTCTTGCATGCTGCTTTCTACTCAAGACATACACCTGGGAACTACAAGTTTATTTAGAAACACATGGACTAATGCAGTGCCTAGCAAAGCAGGTGCAAGCACTAAAGAAAAAAAAATAAGATCAGGCATTAAAGGAATATCACAGCAAATAAGTGATGGAGAAAAATTTGGAGGCCACTTGGTCCATACCTTTTCTCTAAAACAAATGAAACTATATCTGTTATCATCTGGATGGATGGCTGTTTACATAATAGTTTCCAAAAGTCTGCAGTGACAAGAATTTCTCACCTCTTTAGGCAGTCTACTGCAGACTCAGCTAGCTTCACGATCAATAGCTTTCTTTAGTGTCCAGGTGATTCTCTGTATTACTCAAAGTTAAAATGGAGAACAATGTTTGTCTTCTCTGCAACAGTATTTTAGATATTAGAAGACTTCTTTCTATCTTCAATCTTCTCCAGATTCAACAGCTATAAGACCTTCAAAACCCTCCCCTGTGAGGTATGAGGCCTGGTGACTCTTGCTGCATACCTCTATACAGCTGTTTTACACCCTGTCCACCTATTTTCGGCAATCAGCTTTGGGTATTTTACAGGAGTTCTGCTGAGGTTTGGAATATTGTAGGAAATAAAAGAAGCAATTCATGTGTCTACCAGATAACATTCCTGGTTACATATCTGAAGACACAGTGTAGGCCTCCCACAGCAGGGGAATACTGCTTACTCATGTTTAGCTTGTGACCTCCTGCAATTATGAACCTTTCACCCTGTAATAGTGCTATGTACAAGGTTGGGCTCAAAGACTTACAGTAAATAGAGTTACATCAGGCTGGTGGCCAGTAAGTAAATGAGAGAGTAAGTCCTCTTTCACTCAATTTTCTTTCATGACACATTCAGAAATCTAGTTGACTGAGGCAAACCAGCAGATGTGGAGGTGGTTTTGATTGTAGCAAAGCTTTTTATACTGTCTCGAACAGTATCCTTCAACAAAAATGTCCAGCTTGCAACTAGACAAGTCCATGATGGGAGAGGTGAAAGAAGACAATGTTCTCAGTAGCATCTAACAACAGGGCAAGAGGCAATGGGCACAAACTGATACAGAAAAAAATACACTTAAACATAAAACCCCCACATATTGTTCTATCAGGGTGGTCAAGTACTGGAATAGGTTGCTCAAAGAAATTGTGGAGTCTCCATCAGTGGAGATAATCCCACCTGGACAACATACCCAGCAACCTGCTCTAGTAAGACTTGTTTTAAGCAAGAGTGCTGGACTAGATGACGTCCAGATGTCCCTTCCAACCTCCACTACTCTGTAGAGACTGTATTCAACTAAAAAGCTGGGTGTTTAGAAGTTACCAGAAGTCTAAATCTAATCACCATGGAGTAAATCCTTACCGCAGTGTAGGAGAGGTCTGGAGTGTGCAGGAAATACCAATCCCCGAGCACAGGCTCCAGAGCAGAGCGGCCTCCATAAACAAACAAGTACTGCTCACCTACGGAAACAGACAACCAGATGGGAACAGAACTCAGAATCTGGTATGCCACAAAAGCAAAAATTTCTGTTTGCATAGAAGGGAAGCTGAAAAAAAGGGGGCAATAGTACTTTGGATAGATGTCAAGGACATGCATTCACTGCACCTATTCCCTGTCCTTTCACTGATTCAGAATGGACTGTGCAGATAATACTAGGGTTGGTCACTTTCTTGAGCTTCAAAGCAATATCAAGGCAAAAACAAGATGAAACAATACAGTTTGACAAAGACAAAACCCAATGTATTATTAATAAAATGTTATTTACCCATTTAGCATTTACCTTTTTTATATAAAGTTCTGACGGGAAGGCTGAACGCTAAACTATGCTACAATGTTAATTAAACACTGCTCCACAAATGGAAAGTGTGCTCCAGACTAGACAAACAACTGTTTAAAAATTCCCTTCTGCTCCCCTTGGAGAGTTCCCTGCCAGCTGCAGGAATGGGACACCTTAGGAAAGGACAGCTTTCAGCTCCCAAATGCAACTGCTTAAGTTTTTGCCCCTTACAACCAGGATCTTTTAATCAAGGAACTTCAGCTTGCTATTGCAGGACCTGATTCTAGAGCTGTTCACAACTACTGTTTGTCAATTGCTACTAGAAAAGTAAAATTTTTTCTGAAGGTCTTCTTCATAAAGAACTAGGGATCCTGTTCCCCAAAAATTATCCTTTAGAGAGAGCAAAACTTATTTCTGGCATGATCAAGCATGAGTAGCTTCTGCCATAGATGATCTCAAAGAATCACTCTTCCAGAATGGATTACAGTAGGTTTCAATTCTACTTGCCACCAGGGATTCTGTACACAAAATTAATAATCACTACATTTCAAGTGTCAATAAGAGATTTCAAAGCCTCTTGAGAAGTGGTCAGTATGAACTTCATGAAGATCAATAAGGTCAAGTGCAAGATCCTGCATACCTACAAGCCATTTCCACTCTTTCCAGCTTTTTACCTTTGAAGGTCACTTCAGTTGTGCTGTGTCTCCAACGCAAAGCTGCTCCTTCAGCAGCAGGCTGCAGACTTACAAGCTCCACTGCAATGTCATCTGGACCTGAAGCATTACAGTTTTCGGGGAACTTCAGCCACAACATTCCCAAGCCTGCAGTCGATGGGGATGTTCGTCCTCCTACCACCAGGGCCAGAGTGTCTGAGAGACAAGATACGGTATGGTACAACCTCTCACCTGTGGAGATACAAAACGTCATGGTCCACACAGGTGTTTTTTCCAAGAAATTTGTAATCATTTAAGTTGGAAAAGACCCTTAAAAATTATCAAGTCCAACCATTCCTCCAGCACTCTCACGGCCAAAACTAAACCATGTCCTCAAGAGCCACTTTCACACAGCTTTTAAATCCTTCCAGGGATGTGGACTTCACCTACCCTGGGTAGCTCATGCCAGGCATGGACGACCCTTTTCTTAGAGACATTTTTCTCAATATCCAACCTAACCCTCCCCTGGCAACATAAGCCTCCCTGGCTTGAAGCCATTTCCTCTTGTCCTGTCCCTTGTCTCCTGGGAGAAGAGGCCAACCTCCACCTGGCTACACCCTCCTTTCAAGTTGTCATAAAGAATGAGAAGCTTCCCCCTGAGCTTCCTTTCCTTCAGGCTGAGCCCACAACCCCCACTTTCCTTGGCCACTACTATTACAATGAGCTTTACAGCAGTGGTGGATGAGGGAAGAGAAACAGATGTCCTCTATCAGGACTTGTACAAAGCATTTCGCACTGTCCTGCCCAGCACCCAGTCTCCAAACTGCAGAGATGTGGATTTGACAGATGGACCGTTTGGTGGATTAGGAATTGGCTGGATGGTCTCCCTCAAAGAGTCACAGTCACCAGCTCAGTGTCCATGTGGAGACCAGTGATGACTGCTGTTCTTCAGGTCTGCACAGGGACCAGTACTAATTAACATCTTTGTTGGTGACATGGACAGTGGGATCGAGGGCACCCTCAGCACATTTGGCAATGACAAGGAGCTGTGTGGTGTGGTCATGTACTGGAGGGAAAGGGAGGGGCATCCAGAGGGACCTGGACAGGAGAGGTGAAACTGTGCTAGCCTAATGGAGTTCAGCAGGACCAAGGGCAAGGTCCTGCACCTGGGTTGGGGCAATCCCAGCACAAAAACAGACTGGTCAGAGAATGTATCAAAAGCGGCTCTGGGGAGAAGGACTTGGCGGTGTTTGTGGACAAAAAATTCAGTACGACTCAGCAGTATGTGTTTGCAGCACAGAAAGTCAACATGTCCCAGGCTGCATAAAAAGATGTGTGGCCAGCAGTTCGATGGAGATGATTCTCACCCTCTATGCTGCTTTTCTGAGATCCTACCTGGAGTTTTGCATCCAGGCCCGGTGCCCCCAGCACAATAAAGACACGGAGCTGTTGGAAAAATTCAGAGTCCACTAGCTTGATCCCACGGCTGAAGCCCCTCTGTTCTGAAGACAGGCTGAGAGGGTCTGGGCTGTTCAGCCTGGAGAAGTGAAGGCTCCAGGCAGACCTTAGCACCCCTTCCAGTGCCTAAAGGGATTCCAAGACAGCTGGGGAGGGACTTTGAAAAAGGGCCTGCAGTGACAGGACAAGGGGGAATAGCTTCCCACTGCCAGAGGGCAAGTTTAGATGGGATATCGGGAACAAATTCTTCTCTGTGAAGGTCGTGCGGCTCTGGCACAGGTTGCCCAGAGAAGTGGCTGCTATTTGTCTGGAAATATTCCACACCATCCTGGATGCGGCTCTGATTAACCTGGTCTAGCGGAAGGTGTCCCTGCCCATGGCAGAGGGTTGGAGCTAGATGATCTTTAATTCCTTTCTAACCCAACCCATTCTATGATTCTATGACTCCAGCGCCTCAACGCCTCTCTTTCTGTTAAGAGGCCCAGAACTGGACATGGCACTCGAGGTGTCTCTGCAGTGCCCAGCAGAGAGGGTCAATCACTGCTCTGGGCCTGTGGCCACACTAGGCTGGTACCAGCCAGGTGCCATTTGCCTTCTTGCCCACTTAGGCTCATATTCAACCAATGTCAAACAGAACCCACAGATCCTTTTCCAGCTTTCCAGTCACCCTGCCCCCATCCTGGGGCGCAGCATGGGATTGTGGTGACCATAGAGCAGGATACAGCATTTAGCAACCAGAACCTTCAGATCTCTGTGACTGACAGCATCACTGTGCCACGACATCACTTCTTCAATAGACTTTCTTTCACTTTTAGCACAAAGGCATCCCCCTTGCACTTGCCATCAGTATGGGAACTCACCCCATCTTTTATCAGGAATATTCTGTGTCACACAGGCAGCTTCCCAGTAGCCTGCACGCCTACTCAGCACATTGAAATTTCTCATGCGGCAGTGTTGTCCACGCTCCTCCCCAAAGCCTCCCGTGGTAAGAATCACATTGGGTTTTATAAGAACAGAGTGGTGACCATAACGCCTCAGACCAGGAATTCCTGAGAGCCTTGCACACACTGCTGCAGGGACACTCCCAGCCATCCAAACAGGACCAGCGTGACGAGGAACTGTAAGCCAAAGAGAACCAAAAAACTTATGCACAAATACAAACAAAGGACTACATTTTAAGTAAGAAATTAAGCATGTCACTTTTTTCAAGATGACCACTCATCTTTTCAAGAAGAAAAAATTGAGAAGCAAGTTGACTTATTTCTGTGCACACAGATAATCTGACATGCCCTAGAAATCAGGATGTAATGGTTAATACTACTGTACCAACTGTAATTTCTACTCAGCTCACTCAGCTCCTGCAATTCTGAGACTGCTTTCATGGGGTGGACATAAGACTGGCCAAGTGAGTGCAGTGTCCTAAACTGCTGCAGCAAGATATGAATCACTGCAGTACCTTCAAAAGGAGCACCTCTCTGATTTGTTTACATGAACAGCAAAGAACAGAAGAAAAAGGACAAACACCTGGAAGCTGATTTCAAAGTTTCTTGCCAGGTTTTGATCCTACCTTCACAGAAGCACTGAAATAACACTTTGAAGCATGACAAGTAATCTGTTAATTCCAATGGTCCTACTATAGGAGAGTATTTCCAGTTATCTAAGTATCTTCTCTCTAAATATTATACCCCTTAGCATGAAGCAAACTTTCAGCACAGGACTGGCTCACCTACACAACGTTTTCCTTTAATCAGTTTGGAAACTCTGTCTTTTGTGTTTTGATCAAGGGCTTTATTCTTGTGTTGTAAGAGATGATGAAGTGGAGGAAGAGCAGCTTCACGGTCTGTTTTTTGTATGCCATGATCAGAAAAATTGCCTGTACTGATCGTTGCTTTGTACAAGACCCTACTTTATCATTTGATGAAGTAAGAAATTTCATCTCCTTGGGCTTAAATGTCTTTTTACAGACTTATCTTTTAAAGACAGTGGAGGTTTTTTTATGTCACAAAGTATACTTACTACGATCTCTTTGGAAGATTTAGTACTTGCACTCTCTTGAACTGGGATCCAAGTCTGTCTGAGAGGATAACTGGGTGCATTTATTGATATTAGAGACATATCTTTTGCATTCCCAGTAAAAGATATCTAAGCATGGACAATTTACCAGACTTTGAAGGCTTTTGCTATCATTTTTGAATACAACAGAGACAGCAGCAGAAAGACCCTAATCCTGTCTCTAATGAATCAAATGTCTTCAATGTAATAAAGCTCGTTAAGCAAATATTAGATTTTTTTTCTTAATTTAAGGATAGATACTATGCCTTTAGGAGCCTCCCAGGATTTAACTTAAGGACCATGAAATCACACAGTACATTAAATCACACATTCATTTAGCTTCAATTTCACATCATCTTCAAATCTAATTGAGACACAACACATGGATTCAGTGGCCTTGTTGGCCTCAGGAATGCCATCCTGCCCTATCCTTTAATAGTTGCTTTTCTTGCTTCCTAGAACACAGATTTCAACGTTTTCTTGAAGCTACAACTACTTGTGGTGCTATACTGTGAACACTAATGATATAAAACAGGGTAAAAATAACCTTCTGCTTTCTACCCTGAAAAAGGAAGCAAGCAGTCAAAACCAGGAATTTCTTGGACTGCTACTGCCACCAAATCCCTTTTATCCTGGAAACACCATCTTGGTCTTGGCTTTTCCCCAGCTGTACCACTTTTCTACCATCTAAAATAAGTGACATACAGATTTAAAAGCACTTCAGAAACAGAAATACAACAGGTACAATTGCACCCACAAGGGATAACAAAGCAAAGCACAGCTTCACGTCAGACTCCTGAGTGGTCTGCTGGACAGGACAGCAAAGAAAACAGAACAATCTTTTGGGAGCTGGAAGGAGAGAATGGTTCAGAGAGCTGTATGAGGCAACTGGGAATAAATTCGAAAGGGAGATCCCAAAAACAGGAGGAGCAGGGTAGGCTGGCATTGCAGCCATGCACTGGAGGGGCTCATGTGTGAACAAATTACAAACTGTTCAGACTGAGAGGTTTATTGAAAGAACGGAAGTGATCAGAACCAGTAGCGTTAGGCCACGGCCTGGCCTCAGTTTGGACAGCAGAACTATTGTGGAGGAGTGAAGAAAGCTACCGGACAGCAGCATCCCATCTGCCTCTTCCAGCATTTCAATGTCTCCTAAAACCTCCCAGAGATGCCTACATGAAATAAAAGAATACTATGAAAACTATTTGGTGTGTACCTGTCACACTGGGTAACAACGGGGTCCAGGAAGGTTCCATCCCCTTTGATGCAGCCAACACAAAGTAATGAGAACATTTCAGATGCCATTCCTGTAGCAAGTCCAAAGTGAAAAACAAATAAGCAAATAAACAAACCAAGAAAGGAAGAACCAAACAAAAAATCCCCTTCAAAATCTTAGAGCAAACAGTAGTAAGGACCTTAGAATAGCCAGGGTGACCCAATCAAGTACCAACCCAACCTGGCACTGTTTCCATCAATGGTCAAAATCAGAGGGGTAACACTGAATCAGAGAAAGAACTGCTGGGTAAATACCTCTTTTACTGCAACTTTCAAAAATTTATAGCCCAGAGATCTTCTAAGCAAGAAGCTGTGTCTTTGTATTGAACAATCACTGAAGGATTTTTCATCCATGAACTTACCCAGCTGCTCTTTGAACTCACATAAACTTTTAACATGGCCAACATGCATCCCATAGCTTAACTATATGTTGCATGGCGAAGTTGGTTTTTTTTTTAAATCAGCTTTATGGTTCTCAGTTCTTATCATAAAAAGGAGTGAGGTCTTTATACCAGAGGGATTCAAGTTTCTTAAAGTCCATGGAATATAAGTGATTCCAAAGAAATCACAGATGTTAAAAGGTGCAACATAGTCTGTGCTGGACAATAATATATCGTTTTCAGTCTGGCCTTGGAAACATTCTGAGGCAGAAGCACACGCAAAAGGAATGTACAGGAAGCCAGCAGCAATGGGAGATCACTCTGGTGTTTATGAGACATTAGGGAATTGAGTATGTTCATTCACATGGGATGTGTTATATTCAGCCAACTACGTGGCTAGCAAGCATAAATTTAAAAGGCACAAGAATTTATGTTATCAGCTTTGTTGCCCCAACCCATATTAGAAGTAAAAAGCATCTTTTAAAAAGTGACATCCAGAAATTAATGTAAATGCTGAAAATGGAAGAATCCGCTATTAAACCCCTAAGCAAATTATTCTAAAAATAGTCTGCCTCTACACTGGATGTCTATATTACATTTCTTACCTAATTTGACCAAGCTTGTTTACAATAATAACTGGATCTTACTTAATCTTTCTCCCAAAGGCTAATTGTAGAGCTCTCTGTTATCACATTGTTTACTCCTGTGCACATTTTCAGCTTGGACTCATGCACATTAACCTCCTCAGTAAGGAAAACAATAACAAGTCTTTAGCTTCCCACTTTATGAGCAATGGCCTTGACCTGCAATTCTGGCAGACATTTCTAAACCACTTAGCAAATCTGCCACCACTTTCAGTCACCGCTTTTACATTCGTATAGCAGAGCAGGTCCTACCATGCTGGCAAAATAAATTCAAGCACATTTAATTCTTTTCATACTACTGTTATTAGATTTCTAAAATTATAAACAGAGAACCATAAAATCAAAAGGGAAACTTCTAGTAAGTATTCCACAGGATATTTAGCTCAAAGTTACTATCTTGCACTTATCTTCACTTCTAGACTTCAAATAGTCAGAAACTTTGCCAGCAGTTAACATAAAAATGGCAAAGAACATAGTTGAATTTCAGTCATTAATACACAAATGGGCTGTACAAAATCAGACCAAAAAATATCCAAAATTAGAAACCTGTATCCAACAATGACATATAATAAAGTAGTCTGTGGAAATGGAAGAGAGCAGGACAAGTGCATCTGCTTTCCCCAGGAATACTCTCAACCAGCTCCAGTCAGGAACCGCACATCAGGTGCATATTTACGTATCCAGTCATTCTTAATGGATTTCTCTTTCATTAAAGTAATTGTCCCTTGAATACATGCCAATTTTAGCATGTACAACTTCTTTTATACTACCAGGTAATTTGCTATGGCAAGCCCGTCTCCTTCAGAGACTGCTCACAGGAAGGAAGGAACGTGCAGCTTTTCTAAGATCAAACAGAGTCTTCTTCCCATGCTGCTTCACCAAGAGCTCCTCATGGCCTCTGTGTTAACTAAGCTGATCCAAGCTCCCTTCTGCCTCCATGAACACCTGTGCCTCAGCAGCTCTGTACAGAATTGCAGCCATAAGAAATTGCAAATACCTTACGATATCAAAGTCAGGTCCTCAAACGTCAGAATAAAGGAGGGTTACCTCGTACTCATCAAAAGGCTCCAGAGTCTGCATCCTTTGCCGCTCATCTTCTGGAATACAACAGGTGAAAAACTCATTCATATCCATGACACTGCACTCAGTCCAGCCCTAAAAGACAAATCTCTCGAAGTTAGCACCTCTGGAAGGACAGAAACTCACTTTATTGTTAATTTCATAGTTGTTGTTGTTTTATTTGTCTTGTTAGATATACTAGTAAAGAACTGTTATTCCTATCCCCTTATCTTTGCCTCAGAGCCCCTTAATTTCAAAATTATACTAATTCAGAGAGAGGGATTTACTTTCTCCATTTCAGGGGAAGGCCCTGCTTTCCCTAGCAGACCCCTGTATTTTCAAACTGGGACATTCACTTCCCACAGGAAAACAAAGACCCTAAATTAAACACTTGTATGAGCCACTAAGAGTGTCTAGCTAAAGCAAGAGCATCCAAAAAACTGGTGAAAATAGATTTCTCATCTGTAAAGTTCTTAAAAACTTAATTTATTACATCAAAAGTCTCAGATGAACCCATTAATCCCATAGGAGACGTTAGGCTGCAAGTCGGTTGGAAGCACCTTCTAATGATGAGTCATACTACCAGAGACAGCAGTACCTCAGCCTCAGCCTCAGCCTCAGCCTCAGCCTCAGCCTCAGCCTCAGCCTCAGCCTCAGCCTCAGCCTCAGCCCTGCTTGCTTCAACCAATAACTGACCACGCACTTAGTGTTCCAATCTTCCTCAGATAAATCATGCTTCGTGCATGCTGCAGGCGCTCACCTTCCCCAGAAAGCGCCTCTGCTGAGCCTCACAGTCAGGGTACTGTGCCAGTGAGTGCAGTGCAGTGTTCAGCTGCCTGAAATGCTGCTGCATGACATGTCCAAAGGGGTCCTCTGGGTGCATCTGCTCATACATCAGGAAACATGCCTGAGGGAAATGCTCTGCTGCCCACTGAATCAAGGCATCTGACCTGTTGGGGGATTGTCCATAAGAAATTAAATTCAGGGCCCACTCATCATACGACAGATGCAGTGTACCTTCCTGCAATACCATAAAGCTGTTATTAAGGCATCCTGGCAAGTGGCAATAAACTGAGAGTGCTGTGCTGAACATCTCCTCGCCATCTACACAGAAGGTTCAGGGCATGAGAACAAAAGCCTCAAAACTGCTCATTTGAGATTTTTCTTCTTCTTTTCCTTCCTTTTAGGATGTCATGTGGACATCAATTACATCATCATAATTACGATGTAGGGAGATATTTGGGACACCAAATACAGAATTCCCGAGGCTTTAGTTTCAATAGAACAGGTCTCCAAACCCAAGGTGATGTACTCAGAAAGAAGCTTGCTGTTTTTCCTTTACCACTAGGTAAGAGAGGAGAACCTAGCTGACCTGGTGTTCTCCATGTAGGTGAGCACCACCTCTGCAATGAAGAGGGTGGGGATTTCATTGTTCAGTCCTGCTTCCTCCAGGGTTCTCTCCAACTCAGACAGCTGTGATAAGTCCACTCCCAGTAATTTATAATCCTCTCCAGAAAAGGTAATGGCTCCTGGGAGACAAAAATGATACAATCTCACTATGGTGCTGCTGCAATATTGAGACCAGAAGAGACAAACACGGAAATCAAACCCACGGGCAACCACTCACAAGGCTATGTCCATCAACTATATTTCTCTGGAACATGTACAAGAAAATCCCCATCACTACATGACCCATGAAGGGATAGTGCCACGTGATCCATTAAGTGCAGGTCTAAAACTCCATTATTCTTAATGCAAATTTCACCTACAGATTTCTCATAGAATTATTATACTTCCTATAACAACAAAACTTTATTGTATTTACTTTAAGAGAATTTTTTAGAACCACTATAATTCAAAATCAAACCTAAAAGACTCCCATTTATACACTTTCACTTTAGGCTAAGAAAGCACCATTTCTTTGATAGAATTTCAATGGTTTCCCCTCACAATCAGAAAACCATTTTAAGGTTTTCTAGGCTTAGTTGATTTGTTTGTTAAACAGATTTCATTTCTGTATAATGGCACTGAGTCCTGAAACTGCACATGCTAGCTCTTGGCAAACACCAGGACCTGACTCACAGATCACCATCCTCAGAAATAAGTTCCAGTTTATGATCTGCAAGCATTATTGTACCTCTCCACTCCATCAGAACACGGTAAGTTATGGCCTGCTGAACCTTTTCAGGCAAAACCACATCATTAACAAAGCAAATTGTAAAGTACCTTTAGAAATCACCTACTCTGTCTCTGCAATCCAACAACTCTATCTGTCCGGAGGACGGTCAACCTACACTGTTCTCAAAAGGCATACACTTCTGGAGGCAAAATGGCCTTTTTCAGAAGTCCATCAGAGTGTTCCCCTCTGATTTCTTCTAACTCTGGACACAGATAACAGGGTATTTCCAGCTATCTGACACCTTTCTTTAAGTACCTGAAGATTCTTGGTATGGACAGAGTTCCTTGCAAGAGGACTCTGTCATTATTAAAAACGTGAATGGAATCAGGAAAAAAATTAACAAGCTCATGGAAGAGCTACTCACTAAGACCTGGGAGTCAGGAACTCACACTCTACTGTCTTCTATCTGCATTTAAATTGATTAATACCATCTAAATGCAGCGGCTTACATATGTTCCTACTGCATTTTATTCCATGTTTTCCAGACCATTCTTACACTTTGTCAAACTCCTACTCTCATTCATCTTATTGCAAGCCCCCATGTTTCCTGCTGGTTCATTTTCTATAGCATATAATCTACAGCATTACTGGAAATGCTGGAGGAAAACAGATGCAGGAGAAACCTCTAGTGATCCACATACTTTACACTCCTCCTTCTGTCCCTTAGCATTTAGCCAGCCCAATATTCTGCAGTAGTTTCACAAGGCTCATTTTCTCCTGCCTTGGAGGGCAAAAAATAGTCAGGAGACATAACAACTAATGTTTTATTACAGTCAAGGCACTTAAGAGTCAAATCTTCTCTCTTACCCATTAAGCTCTTAAATCATTGTATACTTTAGGGTGAAAGGGATGTTTAGAAGTCATCTTGTCCAAATACTTCCTCATGGCAATTATGTGCGTCATATTGCTCAAAGCTTTGTCCAGTCAAGCTCTATTTATCTTTCTAAGCAATCTGTTCCCATTTTTAACTACTCATGTGGTGCAACCTCCCCCCAATATTTTCATTATACATCACTGGAATTTCCTTTTCTTTGCAACTTTCAACCACTGTCCCTTAACTATTTGCTTTAAGCCTCCAAGAGAAGTGTGGCTCTGTCTTTTCTAACCTCTCACAATAGGTAAGCTGAAGAGTGCTGTAAGACTCACCTCCCTCCCAAACTCCTCCCCATGGCTGAACAAATCCAGTTCTCTCATTCTCCCCTCCTACATCACCTGCTCCGTCACTTCATCAACCCCATCACCTCCCACTGGACACGCTACAGTTTGCCACTGTTTTTGGACCAGTATGCTCCAAGCGGGACACACCCTTTCAGAAACTGCAACAGAAAAAACCTGACCTTGGTTTGATATAATCAGCTCCTGACAAATCCATCCTGGCCTCTTGTTATCTCCCAATGCTTACAAATGTTTTGTTTCAACATTTTTCATAAAATGAACATCCTTTTCATCTACAATTTCATAGTTCCCCCACTATAATCTCTCACTTTCTGAAAACTGAAACTATGTTTACTTCTTCTAAACATTTTGGACAAAAACATCTTCCATGAATACCATACCTAATCCCTCCCCTCCAGTGTCTCGCACCAGTGTTGACAACTCCTTCATTCCTTTGATCAGAGTAGCTTTTTGGCATGCCACATTTGGGAAATCTACCTCATATACCACAGTGTGATGCAGAAGGCCCATATCCTTCAGACGGAAGTACAAAGAATCAAAGCCAGCACCTAAAGATAGGATCTGCAGAGAAAGTATCAGAAAAAGCAGCATCTTGAGCATCTAGGTGTGAAAAACATTATCTGTAGAGTGACCAAATCAGGTGACCTCCTGCAAGAGGCAGAAGAATTTTGTGTGGATATTGCCCCCTCCCAGATACTTCTGCCAAAGTGACATATGGACAGTCACAGTACTACCAGCCAGATCTCTGTGCCCTGCTGGGAATGGATCCCAACAGAAGCACTAACGAGTTACTGCCCAGATGCCATAAAGACTTTACACGCATTTAGTGAGAAACACCAGAAGTCCCTGAGAAAATGTACCTGTGTTCTGGATAGGCTTTGTGTCTTCAGCAGGAAGTCCTGAACACAGTGATCTACAGCACGGGCACGGATGTAATAACCCCTGTAGGAGCAAATTCAGTTGTGATCACTGTCCAGGGACCCGATTTCTCCAGCACTGGCAACTTCAATTTAAAAAAAAAAAAAAAGATTTTTTTTTTTTTCTCTAAGCTCCTATTCAATAATTCCCTGTTTACAGACATGCACTGCAAGATGATTTTGTCATCTCTAGAGCTTGCTAATAAATACAGATCTCCTGCAATCAGTGTATGTATTAACCACCAAGACAATGGATAACACAGAGAAAACATGCAGATATCCCAGTTGGACCTGTTATGTTTTGCATAAGTAAATATTTGCTGAATGAAAATGTAGGAATCCAGACAGTAAGGATGCTCCCTGGCAATGCAGATGGCTGATACCCGAGTTCCTGCCCCAAGCCATATGCCATAACAACAAAATGAATGAGTGTGTGCTAATGCAGAGAGAAGAGAACAAAAAAGGGAGAAAAATCAAAGTCACGAGAGGAATTCTGTTCTCTGTTTTTTTAATAAATGGAACTAAGTCAGACTAACTCATGGAAAAGATTTACCATTTCCCTAGTCTGGCATGGACTGATGCCTCTTGTTTCTCAGCATTCTCTTTTAGTTAGTTTCATCCTATATCCACCTGGCTATATTCCAGCTCTTATCACCCCTTTAACAAACAGGTTATCATCTTCACGCATCACAGGGACCACGCAGTCTTAGGATACCCCAAAATTGTTGATAAATGCAATACAGAACCCATCCTGTGAATTCAGCTTGGTATGCCAATGTTGTGTGATAAGTCAATGCCGGTTTCCCGATGAGCCACATCCATCTTCATAGGCCTGCAAGCTTCTGCTTGAACACCACTGTTTGATTTTTTTCCGGAATGAAACTCCTTTAGCAATTCACGGTCATTTGGATAGCATTAAACTGTTCATCTCGAATTATGTAATTTCCATGTCATCAGCCTAGAGCCCTATGCAAACACACATTAAAATATTCCTGTGTCTTAGAAAGCTCTGGAGAAGTCCTCCTGGTCAGACATCACTGACTCAAAAGATATTTCCTCCTAGAGCCACCAAATACTTTACAGAAACTGTAACATTCTGGGGAATTAATGAGAAAACCATTGGTGTGATTACATTATTAGTATGTTTTCAAATATTACAAAGTTTTCAGCAGCACTGAACACTGAGTTAGGAACCAGTCTGGTGGCATATTTTACTCAGGACAATGCATTCAGTTTTGGTCCAGAAGCCATGTACCATTATACTAACAGTCTAACAAGGTAACACTACTGTGAGACAGTGCACTGCACATTTCCACTCTGCCATTCTGTGTACTTTGCTCAAAATGTGTTTGAGAATCTGTGCCTTGCCCAACTGACAGCTCCAAGCATGGGGGTTTGTTGTAGAAGGGACCTCAAGCTGCTCCTGTTCCACCCTTCTGCCATGGGCAGAGACACTTTCCACTAGATCAAGCTGCACCAAGTCCCATCCAGCCTGGCCTTGGAGACTTCCAGGGATGGAGCCACAACTTCTCTGGTCAACCCGAGAGCCAGGGCTTTTCACAGCAAGATCTTCTTCCTAATAGGTAACCTAAACTTACTCTCCTCGCCCTGTCCTGTCACTCCTGGCCCCTCCACAGTCCGAGAGGCCGAGATCCCCTCCGCGCCCCGCGGGAACCGAGGCTCAGCAGCCGGAGCAGCCAAAGGTCCTGCGAAGCACTCGCTCCTCACCTGTGGATAAGCGGCGCTCGCCGCCGCCGCCGCCCCGCCAGGAGCCGCAGGAACCGGTCCTGGATATAGCCCCGTGCAGCCGCCGAGCACTTGCTGACGGCGCTGCTGCCGCCGGTGCCCTGGACCTGCCGGGACAATGACACGGCGCTGCTGCTTCCGACCAACATCGCGTCCCGAGACGGGACGGGGCACGGGCCCCCCAGGGCGGGATGGCGGGGTCCCGGGAGGGCTCCGAGGGGAGGAGACGGCGGTGCTCGCCACCGTCGAATCCCTCTCCGTCCCACCCTCCTCTTCCCCTCGCCCTCCGAAGCAGGCGGGCCGAGGGTCGCCGGGCCGTTCTCCGCGGCCGGGGGTCACTCAAGGCCCGGGGTCACTCACGGCCAGAGGGTCGCTCGCGGTCCGGGGGTCACTCGCGGCCCCAGGACGCCCAGGGCCCATCCCGCACACGCCGCGCCGACCGGAAGCGGGAGCGCAGCGCCGGACGCAAAGCGCGAGGAGCGCGCGCCCCCTCGTGGGCCCGCCCCGGCACTGCCGGTGCCTCCCACCGGTGCGGGGGCCTCGGCCGCCGCCGCTCCTCGGAGGCGCCACAGAGCGCACGGGGCATCGCGTACCGGGCACTGCGCACCGGACACCCCGCACCGGGCGGCCCCGGCGCAGTAAGCGGGCTGCAGGGGCGCGGGGCTCGGCGCAGCGGTGCGGGTTCTGTGCAGGACGATCCTTGGCAGCTCGGGCCGGGCGCTGTCCCCTGCGCTGCATTCAGGGTGCAGATGGCACTAATGACTGCACGCTGCATGGATGTGCTGGGAACCCAGCTGGGCTTCCCAGGCTGGCTGTGCTGAGGACAAACGGACACGGCCAGGGAAGTGTCTGTGGCAGCTGTGGTGAGTGTTTCATGTTATGGCTCTTTAGGATTTTTACTGGGAGTCATAGAGGAGCCGTGGTAGTCTGAGATATGTGAGATGCCATGAGTGTTGCACATGCGGTTCTATTCAGTGTCTCTACACATCTTGCAATCCACAAATTAGTGTATTTTGCTTTAAATAAGTTACAATCTCAAAATGTCACTTTTAAACAGATTGGTCAGTATATGTATTTATTACTAGGACCATAAACCTCAGTCCTCAGCCCAGTGCTAGATTTAATCAACAACCACATGAGTTTCTCTGACATGTATTTTATTAGTGTTGCCTTCCAGGTGATTCCTGGCAGATTCTGAGGTACCAGCACAGAGGCCACAGTTACAGCACAGAATGCAGAACCTCACGGGAGCGCCTGTATTTCTGTCTGTATTCTGGATGTGTGTTCAGTTCCTACAGGCATGAAGGCCTCCCTTTCCTTTGAGTTCCCTTTTCCTAACTGTGCATCATTTTGTTGGTCTTGTCATAGCTCTGGGAGTTATATTTTGCTTTAGTTATAGGTTAAAACTTACAGGGAATGCTAGCCTGTCCTGCTGGCCCTTCAGAACCTGCAGGATTTCCAATTACACTGGCAGCCTGACAATTGTGGTGGAATAAAATGCACTGCAGCAAGTTGGGGAATGGCCACTCAGGTCAGTGCCTTCATCCATCCTAGGAAGTCCTTTCAGTCCTATGTTTCTATATCCATAACAATCTTCTGTGCAATCTCTGACCTGACGCTGAACCGGGCATCTTGGGTTTAACACAGACCCAAATTGTTTTGAGGGGGTTGGGGCAGAGCAGGCTGGGAGATTAGTTTCCTGTGCTTAATACAAGGTACCATATTTGTGCTCCAGGAAGGAAGTGTGGGTCAGATTTCTGTGGTAAAGGATGAGAAGACAGTGTACAGCCCTTCTTGGGTCTCTGAGTGTCTGATCCTTAGCGGTCAAAGATATAAAATCCTGTAGTCACTCACAACTTTAGCAGGCTCTCATTTAAAAGCAGATGGGATTTTTGTTTCTATGTCCTTCGTAGTTTGGAAGGGTGTTTTGGAGCCTGATTGCTGCCATAGCTAGAAATCTCCTCCAGATTTCTTATTGTAAGTCCCGCTCCTCTAAGGATTCCCCCAGGGCTCTGCATGACATTCAAATCATGTGAGGAATGTGCAGCTCACCCCAAATAACAGAAAACACGTAGCAGAGCAGCACGGGGGCCCCATGCTGCTCCCACCCGCACTGGGTTGAGAGCGGGAGGTACATAATGAAAAGCATTTGCTGCAGCAGCTATCTATAGTCGCTGTGTTTGGGAGGGGGCCCTGCCTGTCTGACCTCAGAGCTGACGTTAGAGAACCCCAGAGGAGGAGCAGGGAGTGCTCCAGAGAGTCACAGCCAGGCTACCCAGCCTGGGAGGGACACACCAGCGCTGCTGAAGGTGAGGGGACAATGCGTGGTATCGTCCCCATAGATGGGTACTCTGTACCCACAGGATGAAGACACTTCAATTCCAGGTGAACCAAGGAAGTTTGAGTCTCTCTGTGGGCTGACTCACCAACAGAAGATCTGTGCTTCTGATCCTCTATAAGCATTTTCCCTTACGTGTTCTGCTTTATCAATCAGTTGGGTGCAAGCTGAAGGTTAACAGTTGATTATCAGCATGGTGTCTGTATCAGCTTGCACCTGTGAAACAGTTACAGATCTGTATTTTGCTAAGCAGGAGGGCTGTACCTTGCTACCTGAAATACTTGGTTGTAGCATCAGGGATATGGTCCAGTTGCTCCCCTTTATTGCAAGAGTAGTGGGCTGGATTAATCTGCCAGTCTAGGACAATGTGGTAAGAATTTGATCTGGGAGAACATATGGTTTGAGTCTCAGATCTCCATCATTTTATTGTAGTGTAATATCACAGAGGGGCCTCAGTGATAGGGCGAGACCTTGTCTGGCTAAGGGCAGTGCAGTAAAATAGAGATAAACAACACAGCTTGTGAGTTATGCACATGGAAGTCATGAGTGTACAACATAAATACTGTACAAAACACATCTGTGTCATCAAAAACGCTGTGATTAATAAAATAAGATACAGTCAGAGAATCACAGAACAGTTTAGGTTGGAGAAGACTTTTAAGAATCATCTAGTCCACCCCTCTGCCAAGGGCAAGGACATCTTTCACTAGACCCAGTTGCTTAAAACCCCATCCACCTGGCCTTGATCACTGAATGCAATTTCAGGAACTTGGTCACAGGCAACTTGCTTCCTAGTCATTGTCAAGAAAGTAAACCTCTCCAAAAAATCCCATCACTGTCAAGGAAAATACTGTGATTTTCTCATTCTTTGATGTTCTTTGGAGCCTTGTCTCCATCAAAAAGAGTGACAGAAAGGAATTTTAGAAGATCTCCTTAGATATAATGGTGGTGATGTCAGAAGTGGAGAGAAGAAACGATCATTCTCTGTCCTGTCACAGAAGTTAGGAGGTGCAGGAAACAGTTGTGAGGACTTCCAAGAGTGGTTTGTTTTATTGCCTTGTGAATATGCAGTAGAGAAGGCGGAAGTGAGATATGGATGTGCTAAAATACTAGCCTAGAGGGATAGGTTTTGTACTGGTATTATAACGATGTAGATTTGTGAATCAACAGTTGAGCAGACATGGTGAACAAGAATGTTGAAGATGAAGGTTTTGTTTTTCTGTTTTTGTTTTGCAGAGAACTTGGACCAGAGGATCTGGGGGAAGGGTTGGCTACACATTGTCAGAGGGAATGAGGACTGCCATTAACTCTACAGCCAGTGTACATTTCCAAGGAATGTAATTTATGCCTGTTTGGAAGACCACCAGTGGAGGTACGTTGCTATCCCTGGATATTTTGCTTCCCTGTTTTATTCTTATGCAATATTGTGGTCTTTTAAAATCTATCTGTTCATAATTCAGAACTTCTTAAAGTTGTATTATCCATTTCATGTTGAAGGACAAGAGCTTGATTTTAGGCACCGCTGGAATCAGGATTTTGGAAAAATTACTAGAACTTTGAAAATTATGTCTTCTTGCAGGAGGACACTCATAAGCTCCACATCAAGGGATACCGACCTCCCCCTGCCTTCATTTGGCTCAGTGGGATCACTCTTCATCTCCTCACCTGCCACAGAGCTCCTGTGCTACCTGCTGCTTTCCCTGTGTTAAGGACACATTACCAAATGTATCTGTTGCATTTACATTCAATGATTCCCTGCATTTTGTGAATAAACATGGATTGTACTCATGGCATGGTACTCCTGATAAACTGTCACTGCATGTGCTGCTGTGTTACAGATATGTCTGTGCTGTTCAGAGACCTTGAAACACTGGCTCAATTTACTTTTGCTCTCTAGACAGACCATACTGCAGTTTGAGCTACTGGACGGTGTGGATTTTTTTTTCAAAGAGCTATTGAGCAAGACAGGAACCTTTAACTTTCACTGAGGGGAGATGAAGTTCCAAAAGTAACCTTTATGCCTGTGTTTAGGGACCTGGTATTTGGGGTGCTGTTCCTGCAGCTGCTTTAATCAGCAGACTCAAGCCTCTCAGAGCTCCATTTGTATTTAAGAGATAAAGACCCTGCCTTGTTCTTCTCTCCAAATGCACAAGTTACACACTGATTGTTTCATAGTTTCTTTGGTGACTTGAAACCTTTCAAAAATATGGCTCTTACATTGTTTCCTCCTCACCTCTGTCTCAATTCCCTGTCTGTAAAATGGGGTTCTTCAGTAGTACATGAAGAGCTGATTAAACACTGAGCAGTAATTAATCAATTTTTGACTTAAATTCTGTTGCTGATTTTCCAATAGATGGTTGTCAGCAGTAGGGCTGTTTCTATAAGAGTGCCACAGAGCAGTTCATGGATGCAGATTGGTGTCTGTGTCCTAGAAAGCAGGAATTAAAGGAATTAGTGATTGCATTAGGTGACCAACAAAGCAGAGGTTCCACTTTAATGAAACAGCTAGACCAAAAGGTGTTTTGAAGCGTATATGAAAAAGTAGAATAGAACAGTTGAAAGAGATCAATAATCATCTAGTTCAACTGCAAGAAGGATTGGCAATACTTACATTTATTTAATTAAAAATTATTACTGGCACAATGTCAGTGTTCAGGGATCAGCATTTCAAACCCCTCTTGGTTACAAGTTGAAAGGAGTTGTGGTTTGAAGTCTCCCCTATATTCAGAAGTTGAGGTCACAGGGTCTCTTCAGTTGTAAAATGGTTGTAAAATGGATTAGTATGGATCTACAACAAGACTTTCAGAAAACGAAATCCAATCTGTATTTGGATATTGTATTTTGTGAGCAGATTTTGTCAAGCTCCCAGCTACATGATGCCTCTACTCTGCTGGCAGATGAGATTATTCCAACAGATTTCCTGATGTTTCAAGGATCACCAGTATTATAATGTTTGTCAGCAGATGTAGTGCTGCTTTCCCCAAGTCAGAATTTCCCATCCACATGATGTTTAAACCAGAATCACATATACCATTTTATTCCCAGGAGGCTT